GGGAGGCTTGAGTTTCCCTGGCAATGGAGGAAGCCAAGCTTTCCACACACCCTGGCTAGCCCAGGCCTCCACTCAAGGATACAAAGTTTCAATTATAGAAGATAAATCTCAAGAAAAATGGCGGCAGCCATGAAGCTGGAAAGAGCGGGAGGGTTGCTCCCAGTGGCAATGGAAGCCAAGTTTTTCACCTGCCCTGGCCGCCGACTTAGGCCTCCACTCTAGGCTACAAAGTTTCAATTGCAGAAGATAAATAAATCCCAGATACCAGGGCCTCTGCTTGGGTTGCCAGGGGACATGGCCAGCCTGCAAACCACCACAGGCCCCTCGCCCAGGCAACCCCACACCCTAAGGGAACCCCTACCCTAATCCAGGACACCCTTCAGGGCAAACCAGCTGACCCCCACCTGTGCACCAGGCTTCTATCCTATCTAATAAAAGTAATATGCAGATTGACCATCATTCCAACACATAAGATCAAGATAGCTGCCCCCATGAGGTCAAAGATCTTGCCCATAAGATGGCCACCACAAGATGGCCAGTTGGGAGGGACCAGGCCTGCAAGGGAGGACAGTTGGGGGCAATCAAGCCTGCAGGGGAGGGCATTTAGGGGTGACCAGGCCGGCAGAAGAGGGAAGTTGGGTGCAAACAGGCTGGTAGGGGAGCAGTTAGATATCAATCAGGCTGGCAGGGCAGTGGTTAGGGGGTGATCAGTCTGGCAGGCAGAAGTGGTTAGAGGCAATCAGGAAGGCAGGCAGGCAAGCAGTTGGGAGCCAGCAGTCCTGGATTGTGAGAGGGATCCCAGATTAGAGAGGGTCATTATGACACTCACTGCGACCAGCCAATTAGCCTGATTGTGAATGGGGCCGGCTGGCCAACTGCCCACAGCCCCTTCCCCCAGCCTGCCCTGCCCCTGATCGAGCCCCCTTACACCGATCAGGGTGGGGCTGGTTGGCCAACTTCCCGAATTCCCTCCCCTGGGCCATCCTGGCTCCAACTGGCCCCTATTATGCACAAATTCATGCACTGGGCCTCTAGTGTGGAATATAAAACTGAAACTTATGAACACAAACAGCAGTGTGGTGGTTACCAGAGGAAGGGTGTGAGGGAAGAAAGGGGTCTTAATATAAGATGGCAGGAGAAGATTTGCCTTTGGGTGGTGGGCACATGGTCCTATATACAGATTTTATAAATTAATAATGCACACATGAAACCTATATGTTCATGTTGACTAATGTCACCCCAATAAAATAAAAAATAAAAATAAAAAAGGAAAGCATATGGATTTGTATATCTGAATGAGGACAGGGCAGAGTGCAACCTTTCAGAACATTTCTAGGAAAAATAATAATAATAAAAAAACAACCACAAAACATTTTCGGTAGGATGACACAGAAGAGAGATCTATAGGCGCACAATGTATATTCAGGCCAATGAAGATTTGTATGCACAAATTTAAACCAATTCCATAACCTCTCTGGGGCTCAGTATTTTCATGAAAAACACCGGGATGGGATTGGGATAGACTGGAAGAGCCGTTAACATTCTGTGACACTGTGATGTGAGGAGCTCATGAAGGCCCCACCCCCACATCTTCCTCTCATCAGCCAGGAACTCTATCATCGGGAATTTGTTTCTTAGTGCTTCTAGTGACTGTTTCTAAAATTACTACTCAAGGAGAGAAATTCTGATGAGATGAAGAGAAAATTTTCTATATACCTTTAAGAACAGTGAAGAGAGGCCGGGTCTCCTGTTGCTAATAAAGTAATTGAAAGGTAGTGGTGGCAACAACAAAGACAAGAACGGTTGAATTCAGTTTTGAGGACCTCATAAACTTCCTCCTTTCTGATACCTGCAACCAGACAATTAATCACATCTCCCCTCTTACCGTGAACACAAGGAAGCTTAGAGCAAACTCAAGTTGTCATAGCCACTGTGCTAAACTTTACAGTTCATATATTTGTGTTTCCTCTGTCTTAATTTTACTATTTCTAGTTTATCAAAAGTCTTTTGTTATGAGCCAGCTGAAATCTCTTATGACAAAAAAAAAAAAAAATAGAATCAACACAAATATACACATTTGAATTTTTTCTCTAATTGTGGTGATAGAAACAGAAGTATTAAATATGCATATACACGTCCCTGTTGATTATTTATTTCAAGAATTTAATGTCGCCGGGACCGGTTTGGCTCAATGGATAGAGCGTCGGCTTGGGGACTGAAGGGACCCGGGTTCGATTCCAGTCAAGGGCATGTACCTTGGTTGCGGGCATGTCCCCAGTAGGGGGTGTGCAAGAGGCAACTGATCGATGACTCTCTCTCATCGATGTTTCTAATTCTCTATCTCTATCCCTTCCTCTCTGTACAAAATCAATAAAATATATATATATATATATAAAAAAAAAGAATTTAATGTCAATTTGGCTCTGGTAGGGAAGATAGTAGTAAAGATGTAAATGGTCAGAACAGTTGGTAAAATCAGCATGACTTGGCACAAATGAAAGAAAACAGGAATTGCAACAATATTTGTACCGTCTTTATTTGTAAAAATAACCATCTGAATGCATTTCCATAGTATATTACAGTTAAGTACTTCATTACATTATTAGCATTCAGTAGTTGAAAAAGTATTAAACTGTGCTTGAGAAGATTCAGATTGGTTCAAAGTCATTCACTGAACTCAAAGTCATTTTCCTCATTTTTACAGTCATGGCATTTATCAGAGTCATTCAACCCCAATTTACATAAGAAAACATTACAGACAAAGTCCCACTGAAATCATCAAACAATATTTTATGCTGTTACAAATATATTATGCAAAATAGAACACTGGCACCAGATTTGTATCATCGTGCTTCGCAAAGATATATTGCACATGCTAAAGCATAAAACATGTAGACAGACTACCAACCGGAACACGTTTGCATTGAGCGTTTAGAACACTGCATCAGGAACGCGTAGAATCACGTTGTGTACACACACTCCGATTGTCACGACCTTGGAACGCTTTTCCCCTAGAACACTGACTTCTGGTTTACAGTTTGGTAAGAAGGTAAGCATTTTTAGCACTGCAAAAATCAAACAGAACTTCTAGAGAACACTTCGGCTTTCCCATGTCCATTTCAAAGCAGGGAAAAGGGGAACTATTAATAGGAAAAAATAAAGACACTTTGTACAGTCAAAGAAAGGCTGAAAGGAAAACTCATTGGTCTTATATTGCTCTGATAACACTCAAGTGAAAAAAACAAAAAACAAAACAAAACATTCACAGAACGTTTTCAGGATATACAGATATAAAAAGGCACTCTACCTTCATAGTATAAGACAAGAGAAAAAAGAGGGATGAGTTCTTCGACCAACACGACGGACAAGCAAACCGAGTGGCTCAACAGTACAAAAAGCATGACTAGTGCAGCGAATCCATTTGCTGTTCTTGTTCTAATTTAATAACAAAATAATAAGTCAAGCAGCTGTTTACTGCCTAAAGTACCAAAACATACTACGGTGCCCTTTTAGTAGTGATACATAGAAATCCCCTGAGCTATTTACTGTGGAATCGTAGCAGATTTTAGGCAATGTGGAGATAGTAATGGGTTTACCAAGGACAGGCAGACACTGGCGAACAGGTTAAGTGCAATGAAACTTGATCCCTGTGGTGTGGTTCAAGTCGGGGCTAAAAAGAACACATGTAGGTAAAAAGCACTAACCAGCTACGACTCAGTGAGAAGCACAATGTTTTCTGTTTCTGTTTTTTCTTAGAAAGCTATGCTGCAAATCTAATTTTATCTCTAAGAGATGTACTTGACAAATACAGAATTCGTTTTTCAAAGTCATTTCTCGAAGGAAAAAGAATTGGCCGGGGAGGGGAGAGGAGAGGAGGGAGCAGGAGGAAAGATGGATTCAATGAACAGTTCAGAGTAAGCATGACTTCATGTTGCTTCTTTGTCCTCCTTCTCTCTGTGAGGAAGGAGTGGGGCGGGGGGGGGGGGGGGGGGGGGGGGGAGGGCGTCAAAGGCAGTTCCGTGGAGATAAGGCCCAGGCCTGCGTCCTGATGCACCTGCTCCTGCTCTCCGTGAGCCCCCAGGGGAGATGTCACCGCAGCACCACCAAGGAAACGGCCGTCTCTTTGCCTGCTTTCTGTGCCAACGGAGCAAGATTTCCATTCACTCCTAGAAGAAGACAACACCGCAGTGTATTGTGCGTCTCCACACTGGCTCTCCCCCATGCTCAGGGTTTTGGTAATGATGAGGTCATTATTACTCATTAGCAATTCACCTCCTGTAAAAAAAAAATCCATCTTCTCTAAACAAACAGAGAGGACAGAGGGAGGAGGGGGATGCAGACATAATGCTGGAAGTCCGCTGAGCAAGTCCTCCTTGGTGAAGAATCCAACGTGAGCTTCTCCTTTGACCCAGGGTACAAAAGAGCGAGACTCACGTCTCTTGCCGTTGGACAAGAACTAGAAATAGAAAACAGAATCTGGATTTGATCCAGAGGTGGCAGAACACTGTTGTAAAAATCTCTCACATCCACTGTGGCACTGGCATTTCCAGGGTGAAAGGAACCTGGTTATAAGATGGATAGTGCTCCCCTAGCACACCACGTCCTTCCCGCAGTGGGAGCAGCCACGCTGGTGATTTTTATTTCTTCTCCTGGTGCAGGTGTCCACAAACTGACACCGTTTCCCAGGAGCTTCCTGGGCCCCTGTGGGGTGTCAATGCATTTGGGATAATTCCTGGACCTTTCTTTTGGCCATGTCTGTGCATATGATCCATTATGTGCTTCGGTTTCACCTGGCAGAAGAGCAGAGGACGCCAATGTCTTCTAAGCTCCAGGCTGGCCGCAGGCTGGGGCGGAGTGATGGATGCTGGGCCCGCTCTGATCCTGGTGGGAGATCCTGAGGACCGGTGAGACCTCAGCAGCGGCAATGCTGGGCGTGGCCGGGGGCTGTTGGCTGGCCCAGGGGGAGCCCTGGGTGTTTTTCTGCTTTTTTTGTTTTTCCCGGTAAGACACACAGCCATGAAAAGGGAGAACAAACAGAGGACGCTCCCTAGGCATTTGTTTCATTTCAAATAAATATAAACACATTTACATCAAAAGTATACGAACATTTTCTCTGGCAAAAAATACGCCGTGGTCAACACATCATCCGTTACAAATGGTAAGACATCCAACGGAAACCTCTGTCATAAGAAATATAAAATACAACAAAGACTCGTACGCAAAAAGATTCCATGTTAACTCCATAGAAAAGCTACTTCAGTTCTCACTGTCACGTCGAAGAAAAGCCAGTTAAAAGTCTTCCATTCTTTGACGGAAGCGTTTTGGTCCTCTGGTAGAGCTGGTTGCTGGGATACAAACATAACTATATACACATGTGTGCACGTGTGTGTGCGAGTGGTTCGGGAAGAGTCTCATTCTTCTTTCTGTGCGGCTATTCCCGGGGCGGGCCGGGGTCCGTTGGACCTAGAGGCTTTGGCAGAGGGAGCAGACACAGGGTTCACCAGGTTGATTTAATCAGCAAGCAGCTACCAACGGGCTTTCCTCTCCTCACCCCCCCGCTCCTGCCGCCTGCTCTGCCTCTCTCTGTCCCCTTCTGCAGCCACACGTGCCCTCCTTTGGCACCCCTTTAACTGAGAAGCTCCTGGGACATTTTACTATCGGTGAACGAGGCCGACGGCCCTGATGCTCTTTAGAGCTCACTGTTCTGTCTAAGGACGCATCAGGAAGCGCAGTGCCATAGCAAACTTGCACGGGCCTCCGGGTGTGGGTGCCATCTGACCTTCCCGGGAAGGGTCACAGACAGCCCCGGATTCCACCGCCCAGGGGGAAAGAAGTCACAGGCTTGCTATGAGGAGCGGTGGGTGCCGTGCTTGTGTTAAAGGAAAAAACAAGCAAGTCCGGTTTGCAATGAGTTTTTCTCCTTCATCTGGCAGCTTCAACCAACAGCCTCAGGAAGCAGTCCTGGCTGCTGAAGGGCTTACCCTCGGGAGGACACGGGTCATCGGGCTCCCTTAGAAAGGGGACTACAGGCATGATTTCCGGAGAGGGACACTTTGCCCTTGGGCTCTAGTGAGGGCGTAAACAGCCAAGGGAGAGGAGGTGGAGGCTTTTCCTATCTGCCCCGCCTCTCCCTTCCTGGGGACATGCATGTCCCAGACATACTCTTCTGACAACTCACTGCTAAGTGAGTATGTGAACAACAACAACAACAAAAAACCCCCACACTTTATAAAGGACAACAGTTCCGTCTCAGGGCATTATCCCCAAAGAAAAAGAAGTCTATGCATTTTTTAAAATTCCTTCCTTACAATGAGAGGTATCTTATTGTATCACAGAAGTATCTTAAGGAAAACAGGAGACAAATCAAAAGCGAGGCCCACCCGTGTGAGCGCTTGGCCTCCCTCAGTTTGCTGAAGGAATCCCTTCTCTACTGTCGCCTGGTGGCCTGGGTCCACAGTCACACTGGAACGTGCCCTAAACCCGGAATCCGAGCTTCTTCCCCTTCCTCCAACATGGCCGATAAAGGGAGAAGGTCTACAGTCCAAGGTCAAAAGGTTTCCGAGTCAGAGTCATTCTCATTGTACCCGTCCTCCGAGCCTACGTTGTTACTGCACAGGCTGACCATGCTACCCAGGCTGGAGAGGGTCGTCCTGTTCAAATTGTCTTTTTTAAAACAAACCAAGTTGACAGCCGTCATGGTACTGGAAGGAGAAAAAGGCATCATGGTAGCCAAAATGAGGGCCAGGCAGTCAGCCACGTCTTTGTTAGGAGCGCAAGCCAGGGCCGGGGTATGACCTGGGCGTAAATGCAGACAAGGCAGTGGTTAGTCCGGGACCTGGGGCGACGTGAGCATCCACAGTACATCTCATCGACCTCCCGCCGAGATGTATGTTGGGTTAGCAATCATGCAGGCACAGGGGGCAGCTACTTCTCATAGGGCATGCTAGGGAGGAGGCGAGAGGGGGCTGGAGGGGAGGCATTCCAGGGAGGGTTCGGGGGACTGTGTCCAGCTTACATGACAACGACAAGCACTCTAGTATCCAAAATTAGGCCGAATTTCAGTCCTTGTCTAGTGAACGGAAACATGAGGGGGTGGAGGGAGGGACACAATTCCACACACAAAATAAAATAAAATAAAAAAATACAGCCACAGGACAGCCAGGAAGGAGCTCCCACTGGCAAACACACACACTCACACCATGGACCTCAGGCCAGGGAGAGAGCACGCTCATTCTGAGAACAATGGCTTCCCATCATAGGTGGTGGTGTGTCAGATTCTACAATGAACGGGCTCTAGGGAGACGGGATCACGTGAGTGTGTCAGACACACGAAGACCCTGGTCATTGTGGTTGCACATGGACCACCATTAGAAAATAAAAGCTTGACAGAATTTTTAAAAATAGCAGCACTGCCAACCTACATGCAGCCGAGGTGGGGAAATGGCGGTAGTTGGCAGAGTTGTGCCATGCTCTACCATTTAGGCTGGCAGCCGGGAGGGAAAGTTATCTCCTTGCACGAAACAGGTGCGTGGGGAAATAGGTACTCTTGGATGTGATCACTGCTGCCTCAGTCCGCTCTGGTTCCAGGCCACCCTGTCCTCTCCGCCGGCCAGAGCTGCCACTACGTCTCGCTCACTTACTCAGAGGAACTGGCTCCATAAAACCCAACTTTTTGTTGTGCTGTTTGTCAGCACTTGACCTCATGTCTGCTTCCCCCTCCTCGCCCCTCTGAGCAGATTATTCCTTCTCTGGTGTGAAGACAAACAAGAAGGGACAGATATCTTAACTTCCTGTGCCTCGCAGGTCTGTGGTGAGTCCAGGTAATAGGACTGTGGGGCTGTACTAACGTGCCATGTTCCCGGGTCTCTGTGATGCGGCTGAGCTCCGAGACAAGCCAGTCCCACCAGCCCAAGCTCAGGAAGGGCTGGGGGAGCCTCGGGGGTAGCAGACTCACACCACAGAATTGAAAACTAAGTGTTCTGGCCTCTGGTCATTGTGGAGAAAAGCTGTGGGCCTCTGCTTGCCAACCTCAAAGTCTACCACGGTGAGTAGAGGGGGAGGGGAAGGGAGGCGGGAAAACCAGAGAGATGGATTGAGAGCGAACTTTCTGGGTCTCCTAGATGAATCGGGCCGGGGACGGAGCAGGGAACATGCTAGGGGAAACGGGGCCGCAAAACCGAGCTAACAGGAGTTACAGCTAATGACGCCATGGGGCTGCTTACTTCTGAGCAATGGGCATGAGCTGCTAATTCCAATACCTGTAATAAGCAGTTAATTGAGTTCCGTTAATGCATTTTATTATATGATATTAATCCATTGCCACAATCAATGCCACGTTTTGTTTTGTTTTTAAAAACTTTACTTAATTCGTAAATATCCAGAAGTCCCTCTTCTGCTCCCCACGGCTAATAGGCATTGTGCTAAAAATGGCAGCTTAATGCAATCCTGGTGTTCACAATTCCTTAGGAAGCAGAGTGTAAAGCTGCTGCTAAGAGTTACTAGTTCATTAAGAAAAGGGACGTTCTCTAATTCATTGAGAAAAGGGACGTTCTCTAGATCAAGAGAAACATCAAGCCTGCACATGAACTTGAAATTCTTATTCACATGCCCAAATAGCCATCCTGGGGATATGCGACCCGGTCTGTTCTCGAAAAGAAAAAAAGAAAAAGGTTGATCTCAGAATGGACTGGAACACAGAGCCCCGGTTTTGACGCGAGCCCTCGAGCATGCACGGATGACGTGGAATCCCTCACTCCTCAGGGCGCGCGGCCAGAACTGCGAAGGCCGAGGCGAAAGCTTGTCCGTGGGTCTGGGGCATCTGGACCGCCACGCTGAGGAGTCAGGGACCCTCGCCGCTGACACCACATGCAGAATGGGAGGCAGCGGTGGCTGCGGGGAGACTGTGCTTGAACGCAGACAGACAGGACACGGTACCCTGGTTGATTTCTCACACACGGGGGCTCTGCAGGGAGAGGGTTCCTACCGCCTCTTTAACTAGCACCTGCGTCCCTCATGTCCTGTGGCTCCCTGGCACAGGGAAGGCCCCTGGGTGATCGTGTACTCTCCCCACTCACCATTCTCATCGACAGCGAGGACACAGGCCCCTTTGGCCAGCAGCTCCTCCACCACGGCCTTCAGGCCATTGCGCGCAGCCACGTGCAGGGGCCTGAGAGAGAACACAGCGTCAGCCGGGATGCGGGTGGTGTGAGATGTGCCATTGGGGTGGCCTGCGCTCTGAAGGGGAAGCAGGCAGGTAAGAATCCATAAATAGCATCGGAACATTCTTACTGGGAAAAAAGAGATTTGTTGACCAGTTCTTTCCCAGGTGCTAATGACCCAAATCTTCCAAGTTGGCCCAGATTTCTCTGCAGATATCACAAATGCTCTGCATCTCAAACAACCTCAATGACAGCAAATAGGAAGACAGAGAACTCAAGCTCTAGTGCGTTTTCTAGAAGGTCCTTTATCCCCTGAGTTGTACTCCAGCATTTGAATCACTGTTTCACCCAGTTCATCAATATGACTGTCTAATATCACTCACGTAGATAAGCTCAAACCTCTTTGTTATTACTAAGTGATATTTTACTGAAGTTAGAACATCTTAAAGAACAATGTCAAAGTTAGTATATTCTGCTATATATTCCTTCAGAATGTTAATTTTTTTAAAAAAAAGCTAATATTCTTTGCCCTTTGAAACAAGTATATAATTTCCTACAATAAAAAATAAAGCAGCTTTTATTTATTTACTATTATTATTATTATGTTTAGTCCTCACTTGAGGATATGCTTATCTTTTCATTGATTTTACAGAGAGGAAAAGAGAGAGAAAGAAACACCAATTGGCTGCCTCCTGTATGCACCCCAACCGGGGATCGAACCTGCAACCCAGGTATGTGCCCTGACTGGAAAGTGAACCCATCTCCTTTTGGCGTATGGGATGATGTTCTAACCAACAGAGCCACATGGCTAAAGCTAACGCAGCTTTTACATTTTTCACACTGAGGATAACACTGAATTACATTAAAATGTAATTAAGACAAATTGCTTAGAAACTCTTCAAATATATTCTGGCAAACTAGTTTATAAAACTGGCATTTTTAGTAAGCATACATAATGCTAATCCTCTATAATATAAAAGCCCAATATGCTAAGTGTCTGACCAATTGGTCGACTGTTCTCCAATCGCTATGACACACACTGACCACCAGGGCAGATGCTTCTATCAGTAGGTTAGCTTGCTGCTGGGGTCCTGCTGATGGGGACTGAGTGAGATGGATCAAAAACGCCCTGGAGCCCTCCCACGGTCCCTTTCTGGCCCCGATCTGCACCAGTGGCGTCCCTTGACCTGGCTTGAGCCCTGTCACAATCTGGGACCTCTTGGAGGATGTTGGAGAACCAGTTTTAGCCCGATCCCGGCAGGCCAGGCCAAGGAATGCCACAGGTGCATGTACTCATGAGTACATTTAGTACATTTATACAAATATTTCCCAAATAGGTCATCCCATAAGTTTTTATAATCACCTATTAAATTTATAATATTACCATAGAAATATCAGCAAAGAAAAACACAGACCTCCCAAATCTCTATGCCAGCATATCAAAGTGAAGGCTCTAACTGAAACTGTCCAGCTGAGTCTGACTTGCAGGTGTGTGCCTAAACTTCACGAAGGAGAAGCGAGTCTGTGCTTTCCTGTGGGGCGCTCAGCCCCAGCCTGGCACAGAGCACACTTCACATTTGTTGAATACACGACTATGAATTTGGGTCTGAGTCCAACTCTCGCCATCATACTTACGTCTGCAGTGCATTGTTTTTGGCATTAATAAGGCTCTCGTCTTGTATCTTGTCAAGTATTAACAAGGCACATTTTTCATGACCCTAGGGAAGAAAAAGAAAATGATCAGAAACGCAGGACAGAGATTTGGAAAAGCTCTGGAACAATCAGTTCATTGTGCTCTAAATGTGAAGTGAATGCCCTCTGCCTGTATACATGTTAGAAGGCCATCATGTGAGTAATTCCTTTTTCTTCTAAAAAGCAAATAGCCCGAGGGCCCTAGATTCTTCAAGATTCCAAATGAGGCCCCATTAGGACTTGGTTAATATAAATCTGATCTGATACACTAATATTTCTAGGATAAGTTTTAGAACTAATGTCCAGGGAGCTGAAACCAACACGAATTCAGCTGGGTCAGCTGGTAAATAGGGAGGAGAGTTAGAAGAACCCTTCAACATCACTTTTTAAATGTAAGTCAAGTCCCATCTCCTTCCTCAAGTCTTCAGGATCAACCACTTCCCTGATCCATTTATCTTCAGAATTTGCATGTCGCCTATTATCTGTGTCACTTATCAGTTACTGCCTTCTATTGTGAAAGGAAGGATTCTTTTTCAAGAAAGCCTATTCATTCCCTCCTCGCCAGGGGAAATGAGCTCTGCGTCTTATGAGATCAGACAGTAATTTTAATTGATCAGTCAGAGGTGCTTTCATGGTTTCAGGCCTGCGTTCCATGAAGATACTGGCTTCCTGAGCCTTGTGACTCAGAGCATCAACATCAGCATCACCTGGCACTTAGCGACGTGGAATCTCAGGCCCCACTCCCACTCTCCTAAGTCAGAAGCTGAATTTTAACAATATCCTTAGGTGATTCAATGGCACAATGATGTTTGAAAAGCACTGCATTTACAGTCATGAAAACTACACCTTGAAACACACTTGATGAAACGGAGCACTTTTTTGCGGTTTCCCTGGGACTCCCAGGATGTGAAGTGAGAAAATGCAACCGATGAGAGGAACGGCTGAGCATGCTGGTGCCCCTGGGTACAAATAACACCTCTGATGCTGGAGCTGTCCTATATAATAAAACCCTAATATGTAAATCGACCGAACAGCCGAACAACCAGTTGCTATGATTTGCGCTGACCACCAGGGGACAGACACTCAACACAAGAGCTGCCCCCTGGTGGTCAATGTGCTCCCACAGGGGAAGCCAGGCTCATGGCTGGCAAGTGCAGTGGTGGTGGCAGGAGTCTCTCCCACCTCCACTGAAGGTGGACAGTAAGAAGAGAAAGGTTCTAGACTGCGAGAGCCCAAGACTCTGAGAGGAATGTCTGACTGCTGGCTTAGGCCCAGTCCCCAGGGGGAGTAGGCCTAAGCCAGCAGGCAGACATCCCCGAGGGTTCCTGGGCTGCGAGAGGTCACGGGCCTGGCTGGGGGATCTTCCCCCCGAGTGCATGATTTTCATGCACTGGACCTCTAGTACTGAAATAAACACCATCACTAGTGTCAGCTGGCATCATACCACAATGCCTTAGAAGGGAGACCCTTAAATATAACTTTAGAAATATCCACAGAGGTGTCATTCTGATCTACTACTGATGCTGTAAATAGTTAAGATTTCATTTTGGTCTTTAAAATGTTCATAGCCTCAGGCTTGATAATTTCACATTTAGAAATTTATGTTAAAGGAACAGGCTCCCTAAAACATTCCACCACAATTGTTAATTGTGTAGAAGCCTGTGTTTGAAAACAAGCAAATGTCTAATGGGAGGGGGTGGGCTGAGTGAAGGGTGGCACATTCCTAAGGTAGCACATACCAGGCATCTTCGAAAACATCATGAAATGTCTACAAGAAAGCTATTCGTAACATATGACTCAGTAACAAAAGCAGGTTGTATGTAGTATGATCCCACTTGTGTGAAATCACATTCCTATGTGCCATTTATCTCTTGCTAAAGCAGGAACCCCGAAGCAGTGAACACAATGCTATTTAAAAGCAAAACAAAAACAAAAAAACCCCAAAAAAACAACCACATACACAATGCATCCTTTGCATTGGACGAGGCACCAGAGAAAAGGGAGAGGGCAGACCTGCACACAAACACACTTATTGGCCTCACAGGAGAGCATTTTTGGGGCTGAGTTATTACAAGGCCTTCCAACGAGACAAAATGGGAACATGTGGAGCTGCTCGTATTCTAGAAGCCATGTATCTGAGGTCTTTATGTGTGTTTACAACCAAAATGTGGTACCACAGACACAGTGGCAGCGTCGAGCCAGACTGCAGCCAGCATGCAAGCGGCCAATGCCATGCTAAGCACGTCCTGTCCACCCATGTGATACGCCCTCACTCTTCCTCCTCCTCCTTTGCTTAGAGGGGACAACCTCCTGGGGAAATGGACCTCTTAATTAGGGGCCATGATACGCACTTTTGAGGTAGAATTAAGTGGTATTTATCATCACCATCGTCACCACCATTACTATTATTATTATACTGAATAACAGTGTTTCAAATCCCTTCGCATACTTTACTGCACGCCAAGTGCAAGGGTGTGTTCAAGTCCTTGTCCTTCACAGACAGGTCAGCCTGGGCGCTGTTCACCAGAAAGTCTATAAAAAACAAAACAAAAGAAAGCCACTCAGACCACATGCCAATTACATGCATCTTAAAGAGGTACCTACAGAAACATCAGATCTAAATTAGTGCGGCCCACACAACCCTACTTGATGTTTTTAAGGAAAAAAGGAACCACTTCTGGCCGCATTTGTTCTAGCCAAATCCAAGGCCTATAGGCATCCATTGTGATTGTCTATAGAGTTCTATTTCCAGGAACAATAACTCTGTGTTGCCTCTGGTTTCTCACTGTCGGGAGGTTTCCCTGCTGAGAGGTTGGCTGTCTTGGATCAGGCCCACCGGTCAGACAGTGCCGGGACTGTGGACAATGAGCCAGTGGAGCCGGTGGCTTAGGTGAAATGTTGGTCTTTTTGTGGGTGTACAGCAAGAGACTAATGGCTTTCCTGAGTGCCGTGCCTTTGGTGCTGGACGGGCACAAGGGGAAGTCCCGAGGGGACGTCCCCGGGGCACGTACCCACGGCGCCCGCCTGCCCGTTCTCCGCGGCCATCATCAGCGCCGTGCGGCCCGCGTCGTCGGCCGCGTTCACCTGGGCGCTGTGTCTCAGCAGGAGCTGCAGGCACTCCACGTGGTCGGCGAAGGCCGCGGCGTGCAGCGGCGTCCTGGCGAACAGAGCAGCAGTGTTAGCTTCCCGGGAGCCTCGCCCCGCTCTCTGTGCATGCCAGGAAACACGGGGTCCCAGAGATGGCCACGGGCCCCTCCGAAGGGTCACCGACGAGCGGGGGCAGGTGGTGGCCCTGATCATGAAATTAGCATCTTTGTTGACTGCTTTGTTGACACTTTCAAAATTACACCTAAATGTGTAGATCATTGGCTATTTTTCTAGAAACTATTGGCCTGTTAACCACTTCTAGGATATTACCCCCTAGAAACACGTGGGTCATAGGACCAGGCCCATGCTGGTATGAACCGCACCACCCTTTGAAATAGCAAAGTACTGGAAACAACCTCAATATTCTCCCATAGGGGGCAGGACGATTAAGTTATAACATATCCCCTCAGATGAGTAATATTCAGCTTTAAAAAGAACATGGAAAATCTAAGGGTTTTAGTGTGGGAAGATCTCCAAGGTGCACCAAAGCAGAGCATTGCTATAGAGTGCTCCATGTGCATACAAGGGACATAAGCACATGTATTTTACACATGTTTGTAGCGGTGCACAGACAACATGTGAGGGAATATACGAATTTGGAAGGGACAGTTTCTAGTGGCTTCCTCCGTGGAAGAGGCTGGGGCTGCTGGGCCGAGGAGGAAAACATCTTTTAAGTATATATCCTTTACCATACTTCATTTAAAAAACAAACAAACCATGCTTACATATTACTTTTCAATTTAAAAACTAAATGAAAGCTGAAACCGGTTTGGCTCAGTAGTAGAGTGTCGGTCTGCAGACTGAAAGGTCCCAGGTTCAATTCTGGTCAAGGGCATGTGCATTGGTTGCGGGCACATCCCCAGTAGGGGGTATGCAAGAGGCAGCTGGTCGATGTTTCTCTCTCATCGATGTTTCTGGCTCTCTATCTTTCTCCCTTCCTCTCTGTAAAAAATCAATGAAACATTTAAAAATAAAAAAAAATAAAAACTAAACAAAAGAGGTTTGGCCCCTCTGCCACCGCGGGGCAGAGACGGAGATTCGTGGAGGAGAGGCGTGTCCCCTGGCCACTCACCTGCCTTTGTCGTCTCTGCAGTTGACAATACTGGAATCTATGGCCCCCAGGAGCAGCGATGCACAGTTCTCATGGGCATTGATTCTAAAATGAAAGCGGATTGAACATGAAAAATCTCACCACTTAGAAAGCTATACACCCCCCCCCCCCCCAATCCATCTTTCCACACACTGCGCACCTAACAATCTGATAGTTGTTGTTTTGTAAATCTGATGCAAATATCTGTGGCCCATGTTCTGGTAAAATGTTTAAAGAAGATGATTTAGGCCCTAGGGGATACAAATGGACTGTATTTAACACTTCCTGAAGTGGGCGGTCTCCACTCTGAAGATTTGGGAGCACTGCCTGCTCCAAGAAGGGCTCAAGTTTGTTCATCTGACCTAAATGGCCTCCTCTGGATGTCTGAGCAGCAGTGGTGAGGAGGGTAGGACCTGAAGCTGAAGGTCATGGGAGGAGAAGCTCAGGAGGGCACCCTCTTTACTCAAGTTCACCAGGAGCCCTGCCAATCACTCTTGAATTTGAGCTCCACCCCCTCACAGATCCAAACAAATTATATCCAAGTTTTTAAAGGAAAGGGATTTATTAAAGTTCCTGGAAAGGTCCCGGGACAGTTATACTAAGAATCCACAGCCAGTGACAGCTGCTAATACACGAACAAGGACTTCGAGAAATCAATTAAGACAAGAAATTGTGAGCAATGACACCTCAGAATCTACATGGGCACAATTTGGAACAAAATAGATCCAGAGACATAGAAGCTTAGATTGTGGGATCTCCGAGGGAAGGCAGGGGAGGGTGGGTGGGTAGGTGGGAAGAGATCAACCAAAGACCTTGTCTGCACATATGCATCACCCATGGACACAGACAATAGGGTGGTGGAAGCCTAGGGTGGGGGGTGGGGAGTGGGCTACAAGAGGTCAATGGGAGAAAGAGGGGGACATATAAAGATTTAAAATAATAATATAATAATAAAGCCTTTAGGGCATCTGCTACTATAAAAAAAATTATGTTCATGGAATTGTGGAAGCCAAAGACAAAAAACTGGAGGGCAGGGATAGAGTGCTTCAAAGCTGTGAGAGTGCTGGCCACTCACATGACCTGTGCCAGAGCCAGCTGGTCAGGGAACAGGCTGCATCGACACAGGTCACCTGCCAACCTCAAGATCGTGTCCACCTGGTGCCCACGACCCAGCAGGCTGACATGGATGTCTGACTCACAGCCCCTGTACTCTCTGGACAATGGTTCACACACTGAGCTTGGAGCAGAAATTACATATAAAACACCTTACAGCATACGAAGTTAGGGAATTACAATACATGCAAAGTCTTCCTGGTCTAAAACGTCTTTCTAATCATTCAGGGGCCTATTTTTAGAATTTGGCTGACAGATGTGAAGCATACCTGAAGAGTATGGGTGTCAGGTGCCCCCCAGGCCACCCTCCATGCAGTTTCCCGCAGGTGGCATGTGAGCCTCCTGGGAACCATGACATTCCAGAGAAATCTCCTGGGAATCATTCACATTAGGGACCACACGTCCCTCTCAGACCTGTTTGCCTTTAGCGGCAAAATGGAACACTTTGGTCTTATCTGTCATGTGAAAGCCTTTTCCTTTCCCAAAGGGCAATTTCTCTACATGTCGTTAAAGGAATTAAAGCAGCACCATTGACTTCCGGCATCTCTACTTACATAGCACAGTGCAGTGGAGTGAAGGGATTGCCGATAAATTCGCGAAAACATTTCTGCTCCAGAAGTACCTCTATGCAGTTTTCATTACCTGCAAGGAAGCAAAAGAATTTAGGAAGTTTCCAAGAGAGAAATTTTGTCAACACAATCAATTTTTTTTTTTTTTTTGTCATTAAGAACTGAATTCTGGCTTATGAATTTTCCTGAATTGGATGAATGCTCAACCTCCATGGAATGAAATTCACCAAATGCCAGCATGTTATCGACTATGCTCACAGGTGTTCCGAGACACAATGAACAAATAAGACAATGAAGGCCATGTGGTCTGGGGGAGAGAACGAGATGGAGAAGGGACCTAATTCGCAAGCAGAATCGACTCTATGTTATGCTTAGCTCTTGACAGGCAGACAACTAACACACCTCAGTTTGCCCATATTTACAACAGGAAATTTCCCCTTCACCCATCTGAGTAGATTCACTTATAATTATGGACCCTCGTGAAGGGGGGAAGATGTGATTGATAGAAAATAGCAGCTGAAAGGATAAAATACTGAATGTGAACTACTGTATAAGTATTTAAAATGGCACCAAGACCAGCTCCTGGCAAACAATGTGTATCCAATAAATATTAAAAAAAAAAAAAAAAAAAAGTAGAGGAATGCATGTGAGGAATTATCTTCAACAAAATGACAAGTAGTTTCCAAATCAACTGAATTTATGTTAAGGCCTCAACTCTGTTGGCTTTCTTGTCATGCGATCCAAACAACTCTCTTGGGATCTGTGAGCCTCTGACAGACTCAACTACACAAAAGCTCAAAATTTCTGCATGGAAAATGACACCACAAACAAGGACCAGAGACAAATGACAGACTGAGAGAAAACACTGGCAGCACATAGGATAAGCAGGGAGGATTCCTATCTCTAAGACAAGGCCCTCCAGCCAAGCACAGGAGGAAAGAAAAACTCATTAAAAATAAGCAAGAGCTGGAAAAGGTCATTCCCAGAAGACAAAATACCAATAAATAAATACACTGTTAGACAGGGAAACACAGCCCAAGGTAACGAGATAACCTTTTCTGCCCTTCAAATCACAGAAAGGAAAGAGATGCTATCTTCCCGAGCTGGCAAAGGCTTGGGGAAACACAGGTTTTATACACGTTTGGGGGAGTAATAAATTACACCCTTCTTGCAAAGTAACATGGTGTCATTTATTAAAGTTAAAAAACACACATGTCCTCATCAATAGTCTCCTTCCGGAAACTTACTGGACAGAATTAAGGTACATATTATGAATGGACACACACTGTGCCTTGTTTTAAGAGGAAAAAACCTGAAAACAATCCGAATGTCCATCCCAGAGACCCGGCTGAATAAATAATAAATTGTGATACACATGCATCGATATTGATTTATCTGCTATGCAATATGCTACCGAGATCAATTGTTATTGATACACAATAACTTGCAGGATCTTTACAATAGAATGTGTATAGAAGTAGATGCGGACAAAACCGGCTCCGCCTCCGGATCCCGGATTTCTCTTCTGCCGTGACCTTCGATCAGCCTCACTGAGCAAGCCGGTCAGAGCCTTCCAGTTGATGGTTATCAGTGTTCCATAAAACCGACCATAAATGTTTTTGTTAGTAACGGCCAGCATGCCTTGGCAAACAGAATAAAAATTAACCTGGTGATAGAATCCATTATGGACCATCTTCCGTTGCAAGACCACCAAGAGTATGGTCCTGGCACCACTGCATTCTTTGTTTTTTTTTCTTTAATGTTTTTATTGATTTTAGAGAAAGGAAGGGAGAGGGACAGAAAGATAGAAACATCAACAGGAGGGAAACATTTACTGGCTGCCTCCTGCACATCCTCCACAAGGGTTTGAGCCTGCAACCAGGGCATGTGCCCTGACCAAGAATGGAACCAGTGACCTCCTGGTTCACTGAGCCACACAGGCCTGGAACTACTGCACTCTTGACTGCATTCTTTGTCCCTTTGCCTTGTCAATCGTCAGTGCCTGAGTTACATCATAAAAAAATATTGTAACAGGTGTTAGCGGAGAATCATCTGTGCTGAGTGCTGGGCTGTCTGTCCGCTCTGACCCTACCTCCCTGTAAGGAAATGATCCTGTAATCATTCCTGTTACAATCTGTGGAGTTGCCTGCATTGTTTGTCATCTGCCCGTTCAGGTGGCCATTATACCTGTGTCCCCCTCCCCGCCGCCCAACCATGTTAAATAAACAACAGCAAAAAAAGAAAGCTACAGAATGATAGTTGTTCTATGATCCTAGTTTAAAAACACAAAAACAGGTACACATACATTTGTATTTAATTATATCCTCAAGGGGAAGGTATTAAAGGTGCACACCAAATTACACCAGTAAGCGAGCCTGGAAATGGAGACTTAATTCTACCTTAGACATGTCAATATTTTTTGAAATTTATGACGAGCTTGCATTTCTTTTTTTATTCAAATAAATGAAATTTGGGGGAAAAAATGTTAGGTCTTCTGAATTATAAGTGCGACAAAAATAAATGGGAGGAATAATATATAAAAGAGGAAATGCCCAAAGACAAATCAGTTGAGAGTCTGACTGGTAGTCAACTGTAGCAGGTGTTAGCTGTGTTATTGTAATTCATTGTAGGATCCCCGGTTATATGATGTAGATCAGAAACCTTCATTAAAACTGGTTATTCAGTTCATTAGAAGTTCTGATTAGGAGTTTTATGTTATTAATTAGCAAAAAGAGAGAATGTTAATTTTTATCCCATTGAGGCATCATAGTGGCCAGGAAGGGAAACATACTTAAAAAGCAGAAAAAAGGTGTCTCGGATGCAGCAAGATTGGGAATCAAGGCGGCCATCGTCGTGCTGTTTTCCCTCCCCCGGGGTCCCAGTGGAGCAGGGTTCAGAGGGAACCGCGGGACTCGGTCGCACTCACCATTGTAACAGGCCCAGTGCAGCGGCGTGTAGCCCTGGTTGTCCTTGAAAGAGCAGTCTTCCTCCGATAGGGCCATCTGCAGCAGCTCGCTCAGCCACGTGGCGTGGCCGCGGGCCGCCGCGTAGTGCAAGGGGGTCCTCCCTCTGGCGTCTTTGCAGAGGATAGAGACCTCTTCCTCCAGCAGCATTTGCACACATTCCTCGTGGCCCGACATGATCTGATCGGTTGCCGTTGAGAACACAAAACAAAGTCAGAAGGCCAGCCGGCCCGGGATGTGACACAGGTGGCTGAGTGAGGCTGGGCTCAGAGTCAGAGGACATCAGTGCCCGGGCTTTAGGGCGGACAACCCAGCCAGATTCATAGCAGAAAAGTCCATGTGGACATCAGCATTTGGGAAACATCTCGACCCTCCAGACATAACCAGGAAGAGTATCATGATACAGTGGGACACGTGAGCGTTAGAGCCAGGAAGGTGTGAGTTAAACCCTGGCTTCCCCTAGGAAAGCCTGGACAAGTCGATTCACCTGTCTGTCTCGTTCCGTTTACCTGTATATGGGGATGGTGATAAGGACCCCACGAGTTGTTGTGAGGCCTGACGAGATGAGGTACATAAGGCCCCAGCCTGCTGCATGGCCCACAGGAAGCCCCCGAGAAATAAGGACTAAGATGATCACTTTGACCCTGAGAGTTCCTCTCCTTTCCCCTGACCATGGTGTTTGGCACCAGCCCCAAAGAGCACTTTCATTTCGGCTTTTGTTTGATTTTGTTTCCTCAACATGCTTTAAGAAACATCTCAGCAGATGTATACAAAAAAATTGTCACAGGATGCATATTTCACGTGGCGAATGGGTCCACAATTAGACACAGCAGGGCTACTCAAACACTAAGTGATCATTGGAATAAATTATGATGCACCTGCATGCAACGGACCATTAAAAATGATAGAGCAGGAAAATATTTACTTGATAGTCTAAAAGAAAAAAAGTAGGTTCCAAATAGTATCTTCAATATTCTCTTTTAAATTAAAAAAATAAATAAATCTATATGCAGAAAAGAAGATTTGATATATAAACCAAAAAACGGCTATCTCCAGGAGGTAGGATTACTAGTGATTGTAACTGTCTTCTCTGTGCTTTGAAAAAAATATTTGCAAATTTCCTATGCTGTGCAAGTAGTTTGTAATCAGCAAGTAGAAGCAATTCTACCAACAGTGGGAGATCGTGGTTCTGTTACAGTCTACCATGAAATCGCAAGAGCAGGACCTCAAAGTACCTGCCACTATTTCACTTGTGCAAAATATTGTGTCATTTCTTTTAGACCGACTGAGTCTCATTAGTTATCTAAGGAAACAACCTTTTTACTAAAAACTCATGGGAAGTAAAGAGGAAGCGTGCTCATTCCAAGATGGCCTGACTGAGGCAGAGGAAGAGGTACGTACCCCTCTGTGCAGAGCTGTGCACCCCATGATGTCAACAGCATCCACATTCGCTTCCTTTTCAAGTAACAACGAAACAGCATCAATGTGTCCATATGCCACTGCCAGCATCAGTGGAGTTCTAGGAGAGAGATAGGTTAGACTTTTTAGAAGAAAATTAAAACAAAATGCACATTACTTCCAGTGGAAGGCCCTCCTTCTCTTTGTCACTCTGTCTCTTTCTCTAATAATAAAAGCATAATATGCTAAATAGACCAGACAGCCGAACGACCATCTGGAAGACCTTCCTGACAAATCTAGGGCCGTGAGGGGCAAGCCCATTGCATGAATTCCGTGCATCAGGCCTCTGGTATAAATATTATGTATGTATCTTTCTGCCTCTGGCATCTAATGGCCACATGGAACGCTGTCAGTGGAATGACTGATACGGATGGGGCTGGGAAAGGCTCCTCAGGATGGTCACTGTGTTCCCATCATTCTCAGAAGCATTTCTAAATGCCAACTGAGCAGGGAGCGTGTACATGAAGGAGGCCATCTCGCTCCTACAATATAAGAGTAATTCTACCTTCACAGTGTTCTGTGTTGGCCTTTGCTCAGTGTTTCACTTGACCAAAGCTTGCTGCCTTCCAGAAAAGCCTGGCAAACCCAGAGGAAGGAGCAGGGAGCCAGGGTCCAGGAGGGGGCGTTCTAGCTCCCACTTCGACACTAACTCACATGCCTGGGTGAGACACTCTGCCTTTCCTGTCTGTAAGAGAAGACTGGGGGCAGGGACGGGCTACCAGGTGGGAAGGACTTGGTAAGAACAAACCCAAGGAAGGAGGCACATGTGAAGGATTTTTATGAAGGAGGTAACTTCTTGAGGCCATTGCCATTATTAATATGAACATGAAAATGTAGCAGCTTCAAAAGAGGGTAAAAGGCATAGGAAGAAGGAGCCAAGGAGGTCTGGTTTTAAAAGACCAAGGGACATGGCCCTAGACATACAAAGTTGGCTCTTTTTATCAACACACACACACACACACACACACACACACACACACTGCTCTTAGGTAGATTCTCCTAAGTCCCATTGTGACATTCTTTAGAGTTAGTAGAGCTATTGCAAGCATCATAAGCTGCGTGTCCTCCATATGTTTCCCATCCCTGTGTATACTCTGACATGAAGCTGCCTCATTATTCCAGGGTCCTCAGCCAATGAATTTCACCCAAACAGGTACCCCCCAACCTCAAGCTCGGCAGTCAGCCCTCCCATCGGCTAACGGTCCAGGGGTCCTCAAACTTTTTAAAGTGGGGGCCAGATCATGGTCCCTCAGAGAGCTGGAGGGCCGGACTATATGAACTACTAATTCCTACTGTGATACCTCGGCTGCGCTCACTGCCCAAAAAACCTGGCGGGCCGGATCAGACTCCTCTGCGGGCTGCATGTGGCCCGCGGGCCGTAGCTTGAAGACGCCTGGACCCAACCAACCATCATCCACTGTGACCGAAACCAACCGCCGGCCCGGCCCAGGGGGCACACTTACTGTCCTTTGGCATCTTTCACGTTAACCACTTCCGGGTTGTCTGCGATTTCTAGTAACAGCCGCAGACACAGGGTGTGGCCATTAATCACTGGAAGAGAAAAGAACAGACATCCTGTTAACAAACCCACAGGACCACACACATCCCTCCAAAGTGAGGTCTGTCTGGGCTCTAAATCATTGGTCCTCGATCTGCTGTCCCGGGGCTGACTTTACTCCTCCGTCTTCTCCGTTCTCCCCAGCAGGGCACCCTGGCCCTTACGGAACTTGTCCCTGGTTCATGCCTTGAGGGTTATTTTCCCTTAAACACCATGTCTTTTTTTCTTTTTTTTCTTTTTTTTCCCAAATCCTTTTTTTTTCTTTTCTTTTTTTTTTCATTTCTCCCCACTTTGCAGTTCTTTTTGCTCTTCTGAGAGTCACACAATACTATACAATCCGGTGTCCTGCCTGCCTTCAGACCTTTTTAAAAAGAAGGAAGAAGGGACAGGAGAAGGGAGGGAGGAAAGAGAGGAGCAGGGACAGAATGGGAGGAGGAGAGGGGGAGGAGGTAAAGCAGAGGAGAGTGAGGAGAGGAAGGGAGAGAGCGAACGGGTCCTGCTATTATTCCCTGTCACTGTGCATTCAGTGGCAGGCACCCGAGTAACAGCTCTGAGTGACGAGCAGAGACTTACAGCAAACCCTCAGGCCTGGGAGGGGTACAGAAGCCCCACCCCCTGCAGGGGCACCTCTGTCCCAGAGTTCCTCAAGCCACAGCCTGACCGTGTCTCATGCATGGAGGAGGAAAGGCGGGGAGCGGGGGGGAGCTCTCCACACTCCTGGTCCCCTCTGCCCCCTGCCCTCCCCTCCCTTCCTCTGCCAAGGTCTCCTCGCTGCTTCCCAGGTGCTACGGGGTTCCCACCCCTAATGACCAGCAGTCACAGCGAGGACTGGCAATGGGCAGGAGATGCAGCCAGGACACTGCTGTTGGCCTCGACCATCTGGGGCACAATACATAGACACCCCTTATGACAGGGGCAGACGCAGAGTATTGGGGACCAGCTGGAATGGTAAGAAATATGAATCATGCCCTGTTAACCAGGATTGTTTTGTTCTGATTAAAGAAGGCACATTCTCACCTGGCTGGGGCTGCAGGCGGGAGCTGCCTGTTCTCTTGGAGTGATGAACTGCCTTGTTGCCAAAACCAGAGCCACCAGCCCTTTGAAGACCCCAGCCTTTGCATGCCATGCTGCAGGCCTTTGCAAATCTCCAGCCAGATTGCATTCCCTTTCCCCGTGTAAGCCTTGTCCTTCTTCCCAATAGAAGCAGCTGGCTTATATGGGGGAGGAGGGGCAGAGCAGATTTTTGTGGGTGACCTGCTGCTCCCTCATGCTGCTGGCAGGATTGGAATATATGTTCACATATGATGCAACCCTCTCTCTGCTTCACCTGCTCAAGGAGGGACAGGCAGCCGGACCCCTTGCCAGTTACACTTACACAACCAGGCGTGATGCTTCCTGTGGGGGACAGGGAGGGTGCTTCGGGTGCTGGAAGGCCACCCTCCCAGGAGGACAGTCGGGAGGGGGGGGCAGCTCTCTGCCCCACCCCACTCCCCGTTTGTTGAATGCCACCCACAGCCTCACCCAGAGGAGGCTGAGGACAAGCAATGTGTGCGTTTTCAATCGTCACTTTCTCTCCTCTGAGCAGTGAGAACACTGTAGCATGCATTGCATTTGCCTCCATGTGGATGGGGGAGAAGGGAAGAGATGTAGACGCAGCGACATTAGGTTAAAGAGGCATCCGGGAAGAGCTGCATCTTCCTACAGTCCTTCTATCGGATGCCAGTCAGGAGCGAACGCTAATTTAACAAGGACACGTTTTTTCAGGGACAATACATATCAGAATGAGCTCACGTTCACTGACACCACTCCGCTGAGCCAAAGCAGAATGCCCACGTTCTGCAGACCGCTGCGTTCAGCTCGTTCTCAGATTCATTTCTGTATCTCGGGAGGAAAGCTGGGGACTGGAGTACAGGCATGGTACTGTGCTTGCTGTTGGGCTGTTTCCTTTGTTTTAAGGAGCGCATTCAACCTGTGACCACTGGTACCGCCTGCAGGCGAGCGGTTTACGTGTGCTTCAAAGGAAAGGATCAGCAGAGGCCTGGCAGCTAAGTGCTAAGGCAACGGGTCCCCAACGCAGAGGGAGGCTCAGGGGAGGGTGACTGACGCCTCCTTCTTCATCAACCTGACACTCTTTGCAGGCTCATAACCATCATAGTTCCAAGGATATTTGATTTTTGGCTAAACAGAAAAAGGGGGAATCATCTAAGTTCCTATCCCTGGGCCAGTATGTTGCAGAGCAAACCAGTACCCACTGTATTTATTGTTGTTGTTGTTGTTGTTTTTTGGGGGACGAAGAGGGTACTACAGCTTTTTGAACTGAGCTAATAGCCCTCAGGTAAGCATAAGGCCCCTTTGCAGAAAAGCACAGACAAACTGGGATTCTTGTTGGCTCCCCACACTTGACATTTCCCCAATGGCTAACATCTCCTTGGCTGTGCAGGGTCAAGTCCAGCTTTGTCTGAGACTAGCCCCGCCTCTGCCTCCCTATGAGTGACAGCGACTTTCCATGCTGCTCAAAGACCACAACTGTCATTGCAACTAGCTGTGCCCAAACCTCTGGTACCCGTTCTGGCTCCTGCGCCTCAGTATTCCCAGGGTGTGAAACAATAGTAATAAAAAGTTGGCCTTCCAAATGAGTTGGAAAAGATTCGGGCTAAAGCTTGCACATTGCAGACATTTTGTGAACAGAGTGGAATGACAGCCGGTGTTATCCAATGAATGACTTGAGGGAAATCCAAAAGGAGTGAATCGGCTTGACCACAAGAGGGCTCCATTGGACCACAACCTCTGCCGTGGCAAATGAGGGACCGTGATTATTTTTCACGGTTCACTGTTTACAAGAGTGGTTCTCCACAATGAAAATAAGGCCCTTTGCCCTAACCGGTTTGGCTCAGTGGACAGAGCGTCAGCCTGCGGACTCAAGGGTCCCAGGTTTGATTTCGGTCAAGGGCATTTACCTTGGTTGCAGGCACATACTCAGTAGGAAGTGTGCAGGAGGCAGCTGATCGATGTTTCTCTCTCATCAATGTTTCTAACCCTCTATCCCTCTCCTTTCCTCTCTGTAAAAAATCAGTAAAATATATATTTTTTTTTTAAAAAAGAAAGAAAATAGGGCCCTTTGTTATTGTCAGGAAGTCCCTGGTAACTAAGGCAGATGCTTGCCTTAACAGTAGGCAGCCAATATTTTAAAAGAAATAAATTTGAACTTTAGAATAATACCAAGGATGTCTGGACTATCAAACTTTATAATGCTGTACAACATTACCAAAAAAGACTAAATGTGGATACAAAATAAGAATTTGCAATTTAACCAACAACTCCTGATCTCATGACTAAAGTTTTCTTCCAGTAATAATTGTTACCAGGTAATTAGGCAACAGCCATATATATATATTTTTTTTCCTATCTCCATATTGTTCTTCTTCAGTAGTTTGGAAATTCAGGCTTGTAGGTAGAAATACTTCTACAAATTCTAACCTTCTGAGAAAATTTTCCTAAGTAACAAGATCATTACATCTTCTGGAAAACCAGCTTTACTCTTTGCTTCCTCAATATGCTCATTTTATGGTGTCAGACAATGATTTCTCATCCTAAGACAATATTTATGATCCTGATCAAAGGCAGATATCATTGAATCCCTGACCCCAAAGGAAGGTATGCCTTCACTGAGCTACAGTCTCTCCCTATCACCTTACATCTAGCAGGGCCCTGATACAGTTTAATTTTACGTGTATTAGAGAAAAATCCCAGAAAAGACAATTACCTCCTTTGTGATACCCACATGCACTTTTTAAGAGTACTTTTTTACACCCGAGGCACCAAGAATTGGAGGAAAAACTCAGAGGCATCATTAGGCTGGCAGAATGGTGCGCTGATTAGGCCGCTGTCTGGTGACTTTGATGAAATCGCCCTGACATGTCATGAGTTTCCCACTTTAAATGCTGTGTGACTTCGTTCTATGTAATTTATTTGGAGATCACATTGGGCCTTGCCCTTTTCCAGAAAGCTTTGCAATGGCTACTAGCCAAAGGCTCTGAACTCTCTTTTGAGTGAAGACCAGGTGGAGCACAGAGGATTTTTAGAGCTGGATTCACAGTATTGTATTCTGTACAATGCTGTAATAATACACACATATCACTCTACATTTGTCCAAATTCACAGGATGCACAACAGCAAGAGTGAACCCTAATGTACACTATGGACTTGGGGTGGGGATGAGGTGCTGATGTATTATAGGTTCATGAATTGTAATGTACGTACCACTCACATGGGACGTTGATAATGGGAGAGGCCATGCATGGGGAGGGGGCAGGGGGTGCATGGGAAATCTCTGTACCTTCCTCTCAATTTTGCTGTGAACCTAAAACTGCTCTAAAATAAATAAATAAATCTTTAAAGGAGATGCCAAAGCTCATCTGGCCAGAGAACACCAATCACTTCAACATTGATAGGAAACCCAGGGTTGTGGAAGAGTGTAGGCATACCTGATGCAGGAAGAAACGATTTTGAAAATTGGGACGAAAGAAGATGCTGCCCACCTTTTACTCAGCTCACGAGTCGGCTAACCACTCTGGGCGAGACCCACCTGAGGCGTGCAGAGGGGTCCTTTTGGTGACGTCGTCTTTCACGAAAATGGACGCGCCCTGGTTGATGAGCGCTTCCACACATTCCGTGTGGCCCCTGAAGGCAGCCAGGTCCAGCGCGGTGCGGCCCTTCTCGTCCCGGATGTCCAGGTCCACCAGGGACTGCAGGAGCACCTCCAGGGCCTGGTGGTGCCCGTTGTAGGCCTGCAAAGGGGAAGCCGGTGATACAGGTGCTCCCTCGCCTCGGACCCCACCGCTCTGCCAGGGAGGGGCGAGGCCTCCAAGGTCACAGACAGAGGCCACGCAAGGAGCACCTCAGACAGACACTCGGGATAAAGGAAAACACCGGGAACCAAAGAGTGAGATTGGAAAATCAAAATGCGTGAAATGCACGGCTATGTATGAATTCCTTCGTGTCCTTTTTCTTTGGTCAAAATAATTTGCCCCAGAGGCTCCGAATGTATGTATGGATTCATGTATTTGTATCTATTGATCATCTCACCCAATACAAGCCAGCAACTGAATAAATTAATATATTCTTATATCTGCCAGGTCAGGCTAACCGTACTGACATGATCAGAATCCCCCACCCCCACCCCCTGGAAATTATCCTGCTAAATCTGGAGCAAAAGGTTACCAAATACACGTGTCTTCATAACTCAGCAGAGGCATACAGACCTTGCTGCGGTTGGATATTTTCATTTCTAGCCATGTGACCCTGGGCGAATTTTTTAATTTCACTTAGTTTGTTTCTATAAAAGGAGAGCTATACAAGGAGCCTTGCAGGGGGAATAAAAAAAAGAGAGAGATAAAATTGCACAGGCTTTGCATCATACCATGTACACAGGTGATGCTTCCTCCTCTCCCCTGTACTTCCTCCATTGATTACAATGAAAACACAGACAGAAGAGTGGAGAAACGCTGTGTAGCAGCGCCAAGTTTGGACTCTGTATGAGGTCCTACGCTATGTTAAGGGGAAGAGCCTTCATACTAAAAAACAAAAGTCTGAAAGCTGATTTTTATCAAGTCTATGGGGTAAAAAAATCTCTGTACACACCAGAGAAAGGGCATTAAAATAAAGAAAAGGTGTAGCCCTGGCTAGTTTGGCTCAGTGGACAGAGCGTCCGCCTGCGGACTGAAGGGTCCCAGGTTCGTTTCTGGCCAAGGGCACATGCCTGGGTTTCGGGCTTAATCCCCAGCAGTATGATGTGCAGGAGGCAGTCAATCAATGGTTCTCTCTCATCATTGATGTTTCTATCTCTCTTCCTCTCTGAAATCAATAAAAATATTTCATTTGTAATGGCAGCAACTGATTCTGACTTCACGCCAGGGGAAAGGACTCCACATGAGTAATAGCAGGCTCTAGTTGCCATTTGCAAATAGTGATCCTTCCGGGCCCATTACGACTGGGACAAAAATAGCAAACATTTTCACGTCTGTCACTATGACAGCCTAAGAAAACAGAACCGGCGATTCACAAAGCACATAAGCACATGCGTGTCTATAAAGCATGACAGCGGACACGCTTAGATTTAATAGAGAAGACACACAACTCAGGAAGGCAGCCGGCGTGGAGGCATCGCAGGCGCATAAGCAGGGTGCTGTCAGCTCCTCTAAGAGGCCCTTTGAGCCTCACAGCAACAGCTAAACCCATTAACGTGTCCAAGCTAAAGAGGCTTTATGTCACAACAAAGCGGAGTGAACTCTGCTGGTAGCTGGAAAAGCTTCAGAATTCCATCCTGTATTTTCTTCTGTACCAGGTGCTCGAAACGTCCCTTCAAGACAGGATGGTTGAAAGTCTGAGTTTATCTACAGAATCCTGGTTTTGGCCTTCAGTCTAGTTCAGCGATTTTCAACCAGTGTGTCGCAAGAATTTTCAAAACATGCAATACCTGACTGCTTAGTCAGGAGCACTGACCTCTTTTCCCTTAGATTGTCAGATAAAAATACGACAACAGTAAATGCAACAAGAGCCATCCGGTGTGAGAGAATCAAATGCATACCTATTTTGTTGTTGTTAGGCCATAACAAATACAGAGGCCAAAAATACATCTGTGTGTGTGTGCGCGCTGCAGAAGTCTACAATAGTAATTAGTTTGTGTGATTTCCATAGGTTGGAAATCACTGGCCTAGTTTCCAGCTCCTGAATTTTAGCACGCATATGCATTATAATACAGAACTGAAGAGACACAGGGATGTACTGCACCTCAAAGGCAAGGGGGGGGGAGGGGGAGAATAAAGGTAACTGTGATTAGACCAGAACGTTCGTCTATCTTCACACTTCATAGCTTACTCAACCCTATGGAATTCTCTTTGATGGTTAATGCATGATTCAGTCTTGAGACAACTGCATGGCGTTTGGGGTCTATTGAAAGAGCGTACAACAAAGCTTTAAGCTCCCTCAAAGAGACTCGGTAGTCAGCAGTACACGATGAAAACTGTCCTATTTTCCTTTCTATTCCCGTCATCTTCCACCAGGTGGTCAGTAGGTAATTCCACAAGTAATTTCCGAAATAACAAAAGGAGGAAGCAACTCACAAAAGAACAAACACGCTGGTTCAAAACAGCACGTAGTAAGTTGGCTTTCAACAGACAACCCGGCGCAAGCCTTTGCTGCAGGGAGCCAACGTCTTAAGTCTGTTTCACGAAATTCCTTCCATCTCGGTAGGTAACACATATTTTCAGAATGTGATTAATTTCTCTGAACTTTTTTGGCTGGAACTGAGGACACCGAGGAGAAAGAAGTTGGGGTCCTCACAGAATCCGCACCACAATAGGTCCATCTGCACATCTGGGCAGCGGGAGCCCTCATTTGCATAGCCCTGCTTCCTGGCTTAATTTTTTTCTTTTTTCTTTTTTAAAAATATATTTTATTGATATTTTACAGAGAGGAAGGGAGAGAGATAGAGAGCTAGAAACGTCGATGAGAGAGAAACATTGACCAGCTGCCTCTTGCACACCCCCTACCAGGGATGTGCCCGCAACTAATGTACATGCCCTTGACCGGAATTGAACCTGGGACCTTTCAGTCCACAGACTGACGCTCTACCACTGAGCCAAACCGGTTTCGGCATGGCTTAATTTTTTCAAGTGGCTGAAAATGCCTGTGAAATCCCTGGCTTGTCACCCTGGAGGCTGGAATCTACCAGGACAGAACCCGGGCTTTGCTTAAGGCAACAGCTCCAGCTACAGACACAGTCAGCACATGTCAATAGAAGATGGCATCATGTGAACCATGGGGAGGGTGACGCTGCTGATTGTGCACAGGCACCAGGCACTGTCTCACTGCTACACGTGTTAGCTCATGTCATTCCCCCAACGACCCTGGGATAGAGGTACTGCCATTCTCCACGTGTGGTGGGTGGAGAAACTGAGGCACAAGAGGTTAGGTACTTAGCCAAGATCATACAGCAAATTAATTAAGTTGGAAAGGGTTGGGGGACCCTTAACTAACTCATGCTTTTTAAGTTACTGGTGGGGAACCCAGGTCCAGGTGAGCTGCTAATGAGGAGTCTGGTGGCTGGGACCTTCTCGCTGCGGCACTTCCCCGCCCGGCCAGCTACAGCACTCCCAAAGCCCACCCTGTCCTTCCAGGACTGGAAACCCAGAGAGCTTAGCAGAGCACCAGGCATACAATAAGCACTGAACAATCCCTTTTTAAAAATGAATGAGACATTACCACCATTTGTCCACCTTCCAGAAATTAAATACCATGGCTGACATGTACACATAAGGAACTGTTTGACATTGAAATTGGATCTCAAAAGAACTGTTGGCCCAGAAAGAAACTCATTACAGATTGATTTATATGCCTTTCAGCATAACGATTATTGTTTGTCTCATTTTCGGTTCTTGTAAGTATATTTCCAGTAGGACATGATCTTACTCATCTAGGAGAAATGGTGAACAACATAGATTGTTGAACAAGTACAGACCCAGAGATAAGGAGCTATGGGTCAGACTGTTGGACCTCAGAGTGGGGGTGGGGATAAAAGGAAGAAATCAACCAAAGAACTTGTGTACATACATATGAGCCTAACCAGTGGTCAAAGACAATAGTGGGGTGAGGGCATCGGTGGTGGTGGGGGGCAGGGATTAGAATGAGGGGTTGAGGACAAATATGTGATACCTTAATCAATAAAGAAATTTTAAAAAAATGAATGAGAGATGACAAAATTTCTAGAAGCTGAGAAATCCCTTCTCAGATAGAAGGAGGCTTGGCAGTGCACTCAACCCCACTCTCAAGGATTCCATCTGAGGTGCCCTTTCCAACAAGCCTCTTGGGGGTGGCTAGTGCTGTCTGGGAACCCTCAAAGTTGGGGTAACTGCCCCAGGCACAGCCGATGGTGGGGCAGAGATTTCAGAGAGCAACCTTTAGAGCAACCGATCCTAAAAGCCATCTGCTGTGAATGTTTTTCATGTAAACATCCCACCACCCACCCACCTTTTCCATTCCAATCCGTCTCCAGGAGCAAAGACGTATGCACATTTTAACCTGATTTCACTGGACTCAGCGTGTGTGTGCGTATGTCAGTGGGTGTGTTGGTGGGAGTGATGGAGGGTGCTGAGGTGGGTGTCAGCAGAGGTGCCTGAGCCTTTACCGGGCACTGTTTCCATTGTCAGCTACCTCTGCACGACTGTGCTTTCGTTGTAAGAGCAGCCTGGTTTTAGGAACGCTTTGGTTCTTCCTGTAACAAGCGAAGTTGCCCACAGAATCTCACTTACAGCCAAGTGGAGCGGACTCTTGGTACCACCCGGATCTGACTCTTCAAAACCGCCGTTGGTTCTTTCCAAAAGCTGTGGAGAGGAAGGAAAACAACAGGACATCAGTGCAGTCCGCAAAGGGGGTCCTACTTCATGGGTGCCAGTGGGAGCACAGTGAGGAAGGTGTCAGGGACTGAAGATATTGTGCAACTTATCCGCAATGGAAGAAACCTGATATAGCCCGTCCAATCAGACCTAAGATAGCAATCCAATCAAAGACGCTGAGGTTTCAATCTCTAGAACAGTGGTTCCTGACCTTTTTGTGGCCATGTCCCACCTAAAAGCATCTCTAAAATCCCGATGCCACCCGTGTCCCCGTGACAAATAATTCTTAGTTTTTAAAAAGTGAACTCCTAAAAGGCCATTAACTTGGTCTAAACAAGCTTCCAAAGAACATGGCTTTCATGAAAGAGAAAAATAAAAGAACAAAAGGACAGGTGAAGCACTGAAGAAGAAATCACTAAGGAATTATTTAAAAAATAATAATAATATAAAGTGAAATAAAAAAAGCAAATAAAATGTCAAAATATGTAATAGAGAATTGAAATGCATAAATATGTCACAATATATATTTATACTAGAAGCCTGGTGCACGAATTCATGCATGCGTGGGGTCTAGCCAGCCCTCCCTGATAGGAGCTGATTGGGCCAGGTAGGCCAGGGGAGGGGCCATGGGCAGTTGGTTGGCCAGCCCCACCCCCTAGTTGAACTCTTGGTGGAGGGGACAATTTGCATATTAGCCTTTTATTATATAGGATACACACTGAGTAGCCAGATTATGATGTTCAGAGATCATCATAATCTGGCCACTCACTGTATTTCTGGAGAACAGCCTAGAAAGGTCCCCTCTTCTGGACCTCAAGCAATCCAGTAAGCAACTATCTTTAAAAATCAAATCTTTTTCTGCTCAAAATAGCCAGCATGGTTTCTGTGTCCTTCAACTGAATCCTGGCCGATTCAAAGATAATAAAGATTGTTATAGAACTTGTGCTAATGGGGGTGCGAAGGGGAAATCAGACTCCATACACTGGAAAGCAAAACTTCCTAAAATTCATGTTCCCCATTTTTCTCCCTGAAAAGCTCAAAGTTATTGGGGGGGAGAGGGGAAAAGGATGATACCATTTTCAATTATTTTTTTTTTAAATTGCATTGGCATGACTACATATGCAGAGAAAAGGCCTGGACATACATACCCTACAATGAAGAGCACAATAACCTGAACGTGGGGTTATATAGGGTTTTTACTTTCTTTTTTATTTTTCCTGACCTCACTTTGCAGTGACTGTAGTTTCCATAACCAGAAAAACACTAAAGCTCTTTCTATTCAGAAAAAAAGCCATTAACCTTCCTTTTCATTTAACAAATGATGTCCACAGACCCCAGATCATTCAGAATTCTTCTCCAGTCAATGCACATGGGGGAAAAATGTTTGGAGTCTTTGGTAGATCAAATAACCATGTAAAACATAACATCTAAAAGCACACCATTTCAGTATCGCAAATAGTACAACACACATAGAAATGGCGAACATAAGAGACATTTTATGTTTGCTTTTATTTGTGTGAGAATAGAATATGGAACTTAAACAATCTAAGGTATGTTGGAATAATGAGAATACATTTAATTTTAACTTCAAAGCAAATAACCTTAAAACCAATCTGCCCAGCACAATAAAGAGTGGAAATAAAAGTAGCTTTAACAGCTTGCAAAGGCTAGAAAACAGCTGCTCTTTTGCTTTGTTTTGCAACATTATCACCTGCAAGACTTCCTGGCATTGACCCTGCGGCCCAACTCCAGATCCGGTCCTGGAGTGAATGTGCAATCAAAGGAACACAGAGCCATTTCCACCTTCTCAGCCACACGATGCAGAGGCAAGAAGACAATACACGGCTTACAGCCTCACCTCAGGCATGTTCCCGGAACACTGGGTATGGGGCATGACGTTCCACACACAGACTTGGATCATACAGAAAGCACGTGATGTTCCATGGCAATCACTCACCCGGTATTTGCCGAGAATCCCCGTGCAAGACTCTGGGTAGGCATTGGGATTCAACAATCAAGAGAACATACGTGGCCGCGGAAGTGAAAGGTGGCGTGTGGGTTCAAGAATTTCATTCGGCCTTTACTCATTCATTCAGTCATTATTTGCTGAGCACTCTGCTAGGCACTGGCATGATCAGTCCTAAAATGGCCCCTGACCACACGCAATGTATAGTCCAGGGGCGTGACGGATGACTCAAATGTGTACCTCCAGCGTGGCATCACAGGCTGCCGCCAGCACAATAAAGAGTGTACACTCATTTCAAGGATCGATTGGCCCTCTGCCTAAACCAGTGGTCGGCAAACCACGGCTCCCGAGCCACATGTGGCTCTTTGGCCCCTTGAGTATTCTAACGCCACTTCTTCAAAACAGACTCTCCCAGGCCGAAAACCGACTTCTGCGCATGGGCCACGCAGTTTCCATTGCACTGTACGCGTGCGCCCGCATGTGGTATTTTGTGGAAGAGCCACACTCAAGGGGCCAAAGAGCACCATGTGGCTCGAGAGCCGCGCTTTGCCAACCACTGGCTGAAACCAGCTGTTCAAATGGCTGCTTCCATAAAGCCTTTCTCTGGGCTATTTCGTCCTACCCCTCGTCACCTCCCAACCCCAGCACTGCTCCTGTTCGCAAGTGGCCAACCATTTATGAAGCTGGTCTGCAGAGGGTAGCCCTGCCTGCCCCACCTCTCCTGCACACCCTCCTCCTACAACAACCTGCATTCTTGGGGGGAACACCAGAAGGGCTGGGATTCAAGCCATTTCCAGCCCCCCCGATGGCAAATCATGACGGACCCCTGACAGGGCCACTGAGAGAAAGCGGCGGGGGCGAGAGCAAGCAGACCTCCTGAGGGTCTTACTGGTGAAACGTGCACTCCCTGGTTCAGTGCCTGCGGAGGGCACCACGGAGGGAGAGGCGAGGATGCTCTATAATTCTGGGGCCTGAGAAAAGGACTGCACTGGAGACTTGAACAATTTACAGGACGTTTTCTGAATCTGGAGGGTGTTCCTACAGGGCTCATGGGCTCTCCCAGAGAACATCTCAAGGTCTTAGATTTAAAAGCAGCAAAGACGCTCTAGTCAGTTTGTCTCAGTGGACAGACTGCCAGCCTGCAGACTGAAGGGTCTCAGGTTCGATTCATGTCAAGGGCACGATCCCGGGCCTTGGTTGGGGCTCCTGTGGGAGGTAACCAATCAATGTGTCTCTCTCACATCGATGTTCTTCTCTCTCTCTCTCTCTCTCTCTCTCTCTCTCTCTCTCTCTCTGTCTGTCTGTCTAAAGATCTCCACTCTCTCTAAAAATCAATGAAAAAATATCCTCGGGTGAAGATCAACAAGTGGGGAAAAAAATTAGAAAAATAAAAGCAGCAAAGGTCATCGAAGGCCAACTTTAGGGCTTTCTCTACACAATGAATCTGTGGTAACAAAATCAAGGATAAATATAAACTCAATGGTAATCCAATGGCCAGTGGGTTAAAAAAAACAAAACAAAACAACAGTGATCTTGTCCAAAACTGAGGAAACATAAATATTGCACTTGAACGAGGAACCCAAGCTTTTCAACTAGTAGAGTTTATGCCTGGCTATTTGAAAACACGGCAGGAAAAATGCAGGGATCCCAAGAGACTTACAGCTGATTTAAACTAGTTTTTCTGTGTGCTGCTTAGGAAAGCAGAAAGTGAGCATAGCTCTGCCAGTACGAACAGAGGCATGTAGCCAGCGTGTCTGTGAAGCAGCCTCTCTCCCATTGTAATGGCCAGACTCTGACACACAAGTGAGGAAAACCAACCCAGCAGTTCCACAGGCACCGTGTGAAGAAGGTGCTCTGAGAAACGGTTTAAAAATTGATTTTCTGCCCGGCCGGTGTGGTTCCGTGTTGAGCTGTTGACCTAGGAACCAGGAGGTCACGGTTGGATTCCTAATTAGGGCACAGGCCTGAGCTGTGGGCTCGATCCCCAGTGTGGGGCATGCAGGAGGTAGCCAACATGATTCTCTCTCTTCATTGATGTTTCTCTCTCTCTCTCTCTCTCCCTTTCTCTCTGAAATCAATAAAAATATGTTTTTAAGTGGATTTACTTCTCTTTCAGCAGTGACGAGTAGGAGGACTTGTCTACAAGTCTGCAAGTCTGTTGAGGGTTGGGGGCAAGCCAAGGCCCCCGCTGAGTTGGCACCACTGTGAGAAATTCTGCCTCACATTCCGCGTGTCTGTGCTTGAGAACGAAACGCTACGTGGGCAACCTCAAGGCCATGCCTGAGTCAACCCCACTGAGACTCAGCTCAGCTCAATCTGACGGTTCAGACCACCAGGCCTGTGTCACTGCGCTCCATGCAGGGGCTGGGATAGGGCTGAGGGGTCCCACCGGCCTTTCAGCCCCAGGATTGCTAGGATATCCTGGGCCACACTGGGCCTCAGGGGACCCCGGCCTTCTCCAGGGGCCTCACAGTCGGCTGTGGCTATCCGCGGATGTGCGTGACTCTGCTCACACCCGTTCTCGGCTATTAGAAGAAGCTGTCTTGCTTGAAATTGGTATTAACAGCAATTGCCAGAAACTCAGTGGTTTCTAGAAACGTCTGATCCTAATCTAATTTCTGCCTCCCCCCACAGTTCTAAAGGTAAGGAACCATGACCGCTCTCCGCTTGTGCAAATCACGTTCCATGTAACTCTGAAAGGAGATAACGGATGCAGGAAGGCACTCCCGGGAGCCTGGCTAGCTGAGCTAGTCTCTTCCTGGGAGCTGGTTTTGATTGCTCTGCTTATCTCCGCCCTCCCAAGTGCCCTCGAGTCCCAGTAATTTCCTCGCCAATTAAAAGGCAGGAGAGCCTGCGGTCTGTGTGAGGAAGGCGAATGAAACCCGCTGGGAAGACCAGCCCAATGCAAGCTGTAAAATGCAGGGTGTTTAAAAGCAGTCATGCAAGAGCCTGAATGCTCAGATATGTTAGCCCTGGCTGGTGTGGCTCAGTTGGTTGGGCCTTATCCTGTGCACCAAAAGGT